AGCAGAGCTTCTATAAAATAATATGAATGAGGGAATTTAGATTTCTAAAGCACTGTGAGAATTTCACAACGGGAGCTAATGAACAGCTAGCTACATAGTGTCATTCCTAATGATGTGTCATACTTAAAGAAACAAGATGTGATCACTGTTTCGCACATGCAGGAATCTAGCAAATCCGTCTAAACGTGTGGTTTGGTGTAATAATTCAAAAATGCTTTATAATCTCCCAGTTCTACAAGTCAAAGCAGAGCTACTGTACTATGGTCCTAAATTCTGATCCTGCTCAAATTGAGTTAGGTTAGATTTGGACATTTCTCTGTCAGGATTTCCTAACCTCCAGAAATTATGTTAACACTAAGTTCTGACTTTCCAAATATAATCAGAGAATCTGGGCCAATAATTCTTTGTTAACCTTACTCAGAATTATAGTTGTTTGAAGGTGTCATTCACGCCTCATTCTTCCCATTGACACAAAAGCAATCACCACGAATAACTCCCATACCTCCTCTAGACTATGTTCCTTACCTTGAGGTTAATAGTCATCAGCTCCATGTCCTACCAGTCTTCTAGTATTCTCTGCCTTTCCACTTGTTTTTTCTGCTTTTCACACTACACAGAACCATAATCATTTTAACGATTTGGAAATGAATGAAGAGAAACACAAATAGAAACTCCCACTGCCACTAAATGGGTTTTGAGGAACAAGTATATAAAATGGAATCCAGGGAGTGGAAAATCTCAACTTGCTGCCTCCACTTCCTTGTTCACACTCACATATGCAGTTTTAGTAGTTGCTCAGAGACTGAGACTGCATCGTTTCCCCCTCCTCTCCAATGAGCAATATTGGGTGAAAATTTTTAAGTATTAGGGGGCCCTACCATCAAGAACCTCTGTTACAGCCGGGCGGTGGTGGCGCACGCCTTTAATCCCAACACTGGGGAGGCAGAGGCAGGCGGATCTCTGTGAGTTCGAGGCTGGGCTGGACCGATAGCCTCCAAAACAATACAGAGAAACCCTGTCTCGTAAAACCAAAAAAAAAAAAAAAAGAAAAAAAAGAAAAAAAAGAACCTCTGTTACTACCAATTCCATTTCAATTTTTTGTTTTTAATTTGTAGAAAATTATGATAATGTATTTGTTCAAAATATGTGTAAAATCAGAGAAAGCGGGTTACAAGTTTAGTTGTCACTGTATTAATGAGCTGCATCAATCTTGTGACATCTCTGTTGACCCTGTTTCAGACAAATGAGGTTTTTGGGTTACTAGATAGCCGAATTTCATATGTACATGATATTTTACTGAATTTAACTATGTGTATGTAATATATCAAACTGTGTATGTTATTATATATAATATTCAGCTATATATGCAAACAATAAAAATATGTAAGACAGACATATGGCCCAGAGATGCACTTAGATATAATAGTTCCTAGATTCAATTTTACTAATTCACCATGTTTTTCCTCCATATTTTTAAAGTTTAATGGTATATATTTTGTAGCATAAGAATACATAATTTCTCTTATGTATTTTTAAATTGAAAGCTGGAAACATATTTTAAATATTTATGAAATTCACCTTTTGGGAAATTATCCAGAGAGTTTTTTCTTAGTTTTCTTCACTTGTGATATTTGTACTCACACATATTTCAGATCCTGCTTGTAGATTCCACTCTTCCTGGTCCAGAAAGTCAGGCTGAGTTTAAAATTCCCACTATGTCATGTGAAGCATAGGGGAACATCACAGTTTCTGTAATACTTTCTTTATTGAAAATATAACCATGAAAGTAAGATAGTGGATGGACAACTAGTTCAGGAGGTTCTACTCACTTCATGGGAGATAATGGAAGAAGAACACTTCAAGCAGACTTTTGCTCCTTACTGACATGGTATCTTTCCCAAAGCTATTATTTTTGGACCTCTGCTTTTTCATCTATATAATTTAAAACGTAGCACCAAAATATATGAAGAATAGTCACTGCGGAATCTAGTAATACAATATTATAGCAAAATTAATGCTGTATCTACATTGTGTAAGCACTGAAAGTTGGATAATTTATGAGGTTTTTCAGATGCACATCATTAAATATTTGCAAAAATAAATCTCACATCATTTATGTGTGAGACTAGTTTATTTAAGTTTTTCATTTACTCATTTATTTTGCTTAATTCTTAAAAGATTATAGTGTTTTAGTAGTTTATCATATGACGTGGATTTTTTAATATAAAGTTGCATAATCACATTATGGAATGCAGTATTTTATTGTGTATTTAAAAAAGAACTATGATTCAGGGAAATTATACTAAGGTAATTATAATAAATTACTTATATAGGAGAATATATTTTATAATTAAATCCTAAATGCCAAGCTATTCTATTACCTTTATTCATTGCTTTTTTTCTGTTTTTAAAAGTAATATATTCATTGTATAAAACTTTTTATGTGAAGTGCAAAAAAGTAAATGACTACTATAAATTAATGATAAACCAAAAATGGTATCCTTTATAGAAAATTGCTCTTACAAATCAGTTAAAAAAGGTGAATATCCTAATACGAAAATAGGTATATGTAATGAATGATAAGATCTATTAAAATAATAGTAACAATTGAAATCCAATCAAAAACAATCATTTACTTTTTACCAATTCTCAGATTAGTAAATACTACACAAGATTCAAACTAAAGGTTTGAGGTAAACAAAATTTTCAAATGTTGAAAGGCATTTAGAAAATAATAGATTTTTCTTATTTCTCTTCTAGTATTGCATAATAAGGAACCACCATCTCCAACATGCAAAATTAAGTATATAATAATGGATATTTCTTAAAATAATGTAAATAGTAATATGCAATTAACCACATTATATATATATATCCATAAAATAGAAGCCATTAGGCTGCAATATGATGAATGCACATTTGATTAATAATACTATGAGTGTTTTCTAATGAGTTAAAGAGCTGACCTTTAGTGTTCTTTCATGATTTATATATAGGTATATGAATAATATGATTAACTATAAACTTTGTCTACATCTGTGCCTACATTTTAATGGTTATTAGCATATATTAATTATGCATAATAATGAACTGTATCATGGTATTTTCATACATGTATATACTGTTTTTTGATCATATTCACCTCCCATTCCCCTCTCCTGTTCATCTCCCACTTCTGATGATCCCCTTCCCCTTCCCACCTAGTCATGTTTCTACTTCCATGCCTTCTTTAGTTTCTTTCTGTGTGTCTCTCTGTATCTCCTTCCATAGCACTTTTTGATGATTTTGAATTTTATTAGGACTGTTTGCATTGTACTAGTTGAGGAATTGTTTACAAGATCATGGGCTCATTACTGGAAACTATGGCACTAAAGAAAAAATGCATTTCCTTTATCTCAGAAGATATTAATTGCCTATAGATCCCCAAGGATGATTGGGGCCTGGGGAGTCTTCCATATGGCTATTATTATCTGCTTATAGATTGGGAAGAAAGGTGTGGACTCAGGTCAGGTAAGTGGGTAACCAGCCACTCTTCTCAGATATGAGTCTTGCTCTACAGGAAAGATCCACTATTGGTACTGTAAACTTCATCAAAATCACATGGCTAGGGAGGAAACTACAGCTCTTATTTTGCAAACTGTAGACTATGTCCTCATTAAATTGATGTCTAAATAGCTATGTTTTTACTCAGATTAGTGCTCCCATCACCTTTGGATAGAGAAGCTCCTTTTTTGATGTGGGCATTGGTAAATGCAGAGACCTCTTGCAATGACCCTTCTGCTTCTATGGAGAGGGAGTTAAGAGAAAGAGAAGAGGAGAAGAGGAAGGGAGATGAGGACATGAGGGAGCAGGAAGATTGAGGCAGGGAAAGAATAGAGAAGAGCAAGAAAAGAGATACCATAAAAGAGAGGGCCATTGTACTTTTCAAGAGAAATCTGGCACTAGGGAAGTGTCCAGAGATCTACAAGGATAACCCCCAACTAACAATCTAAGCAATAGTGGAGAGGCTACCTCAAATGCCCTTCTCCCATAATGAGGTTGATGACTACTTTATATGTCATCCTAGAGCCTTCATCCAGTAGCTGATGGAAGCAGAAGCAGACACCCACAGCTAAACACTGAGTTGATCTCCTGGAATCCAGTTACAGAGAGGGAGGAGTGATGAGCAAAGGGGTCAAGACCAGACTGGAGTAACCCACAGAAACAGCTGACCTGAACAAGGGGGAAGCTCATGGACCCCAGACTGATAGCTGGGAAACCAGCTTAGGACTGTTCCAGACACCCTGAACGTGGATGTCAGTTTGGAGGTCTGGTTAATCTATGGGGCCTCTGGTAGTGGGTCAGCATTTATCCCTAGTACACAAATGGGCTTTGGGAGCCCACTCCACTTAGAGGAATACTCTCTCAGCCTAGTCATATGGGGAAGGGTCTAGACCCTGCTCCAAATGATATGACAGACTTTGAAGATCCCCAATGGAAGGCCTCACCTTCCCTGAGAAGCAGAAAAGGGATGGGATAGGGAGTTGGTGGGGGACAGGGGAGGATGGGAGGGAGAGGGATCTGAGATTGACAGGTATGTAAAACGAGCTTGTTCCTAATTTAAATTAAAAAAGGAAAAAAAGAACAAAGGCAGAGACCTATAACTGGCCAAACTATAATTATATTTTTAAAATATATTCCTGAAGATATATTTAATAGGTCAAAGAATATAAACAATTTTAGAATTCTTAAATATTTTTACAATTTTTAGTACATATTAATTGGGTGGATCTTATGGCAGAGAGTAATATGTTCTTATGAATGTTCTCATGTAGTTATTGAATGAGTCCTTAATCATGCTTGCTCCTAGAATTTGGGTGTTTCATCTTTTGTTGGATCTTTTCCTTTTGCCCATGTGTAGGCTTTGTTTCTATGACAAAAATATAATTAATCACATAGAAATGGATTTTCTAAGTTTGTTGTTACCTTTTATCATATTGCCATGTTTTTTATCCTTGCAGACTTGGGTTGGCAATAAGCGAAGAAAGATGAGTAGTAAGAACTCTGAATCAGGAACAGCAGGAACTGTTTCTGGTACCTCATTGGCAACTCCAGACATTACAGTCAGAAATGTGGTTAATATTGCCCGGCCTTCAAGCCAGCAAACTTCTTGGACTTCTGCCAATAATGATGTCATTGTAACTGGCATATACAGTCCAGCAAGCTCATCAAGTAAGCAAGGGACAACAAAGCATGCAAATACACAAATTACAGAAGCACATAAAATTCCTGTTCAGAAACCAGCCAGTAAAAATGACAGTGAACTTCAATTGCACATTCCTGTTCAAAGACAAGTAGCACACTGTAAAAATGCTTCTGTGCTTCTAGGGGAAAAGACAATTATTTTGTCAAGACAGACAAGCGTACTAAATGCTGGAAACACAATGTACAATCACACAAAGAAAGCCTATGGAAACTCTCCGGTGCAAGTTTCTGAAATGACAGTACCTCAAAAGCCACCTGTGTGCCACCGACCTTGCAAAATTGAGCCAGTTGGGACTCAAAGGTCACATAAACCTGAGCATGCAGGTCTGGCATCACATAATTTATGTGGGCAAAAGCCAACTGTTAGAGACCCTTACTGTAGAACACAAAACTTGGAAATTCGTGAAGTGTTTTCATTGGCAGTCAGTGATTACCCTCAGAGAATTCTGGGAGGAAATACCACACAGAAGCCTGGTTCAGCAGAAGGAACTTGTTTGTCCATTGCGATGGAGACGGGAGATGCAGAGGATGAATATGCCAGAGAAGAAGAGCTGGCATCAATGGGAGCACAGATAACAAGCTACTCAAGGTTGTATGAAAGTAGCAATTCCCTTCGAGCTGAGAACCAAAGTACAACTTTGCCTGGACCAGGAAGAAACCTGCCAAATTCACAAATGGTGACTATTAGAGATGTCTCAGACAATGTACTGTATCAAAATAGAGACTACCATTTGACGCCACGGACCTCATTGCACACAGCATCTAGTACTATATACAGTAATACTAACCCATCTCGGAGTAATTTTTCTTCACATTTTGTATCGTCAAACCAATTGAGGTTATCACAAAACCAAAACAATTACCAGGTAAGGTATAAATTTATTTTATGAAGATTTTTTAAAGTCATGCTTGATTTAAAAACAATGTTTGTGTACAATTACATTACAGCCTAGGTCACAACTCATAATTTTAAGTATTTGAGATTTTTATTTGAAAACAGTGGATTGTTGTCAATACCTTGAAGAATCTTGTGCTTATCAAGTTTTAAAATGATGAATTCTTTTTAAAATGTGAAAAGAATATAATCACTTAATAGCATCTTACCACTGACATCAAAAAATTTTTCGTTAAAGAAATGGTACCTCTATATGAAGCATAGCATTTCCCACATCTAAAATGAGAGTAAATTGCCTATGTACCCAATGCCTTCCTTGGATACATAGGCAGGCATGCCAGTGAGCCCTTCAGATGCCAATGGCTAAGAACTTAGAGCTTGCAGTAGTTTAGCCAACTGATTTGTCTAAAAGTAGATGCCTGATTCAAATATTAAGTTGACCATCTTTTGTATGGCACTTATTTGGAAAAGATATATCCAGAGTCGGACTTTAGTGAACTTTAGATCTGGGAACAAAACAGTATTATTATTCACTGTTTTACAGATTCAATTGTTAAGGTATGTTTCAGATAATCTCTTTAACTGTGAAATATAAGTCTACCTCAGAAACTTTCTTCAGGTCTTCTCCCTAAAAAATGTGATTTTTGAAAATTTGAATAAGAGGGTGTGGATGTTTGCTAGTTTTCCTTGCTACAGGCCAGACATCCTTATCTGTTCAATCACAATACTGAAGGAAAAATGCTCCCAGGATGTTCCCAATTTAGGACATCATTTTCTCCTAACTCTGTACCTTACAGTTTCATACTTCAAAATGGAAAGCAATAGCTGACTGTAGTGGTATATGTCTTCAATTACCACAAGCTCCTGGTCACCCTAATTTACATAATAAGTTCTAAGCCAGCTGGGGCTATGTAGTGAGACCCTGTCTCAAAATAATAACTATAAAGAGCAATAGTAAGGTGGGGGAAGAAAATAAAAAAATCATGATGTATCACTGAAAGTACATTTCCCAACTTCTGTCCCTAACAAAGAAGAAGTTGGTTGTGATTAGTAGTTACATCATTTTTCAGTTTGCTGCTTACCAAAATGCATACTTAATATAATGTTTAACTATACCGTTAATATCCTCATTGTTACGTTGGAAGCTCCACCCCAGCCCCTGGCGTCCATATATCCAAAGAGTCTGGGATGTAATGGTGAAAACTTCACCCAAGTCCCCTCCCCCATTTCCCTCTAAACCCTTCTGCATCTCAGAAAGCCCGCCAAATGATGATGCCTCCCCCAGCGATACTCAAGACCTCTCCCAAAGGGTATTTAAACTGTCCCCCAGAGAACAAACTCATGGTTTTTCTGGTCTCCATTTCCAGTATCCTCTCTGCGGGGTTGGAAGGCCATCCGGGAGCATTGAATCCTTTAAACGTGGGCTTTTTCTAATTCGGTTAGATTTGGTTTGATTTGAACTGCTGCATCGGTGGAGAGGATTATCGGGGTGCAGAAACTTTTTGCTCATCACTTTACACATCTTCATTTTTTATTCTTTTAGTATTACATTTTTTTATTGATTGATGAATTTATCATAAGAACTTGATACATAGCTCTGCTTGGCCAGAAGTGTGTATGTAGACAAAACTGGCCTAAAAGTTGTTATCCTCTTTCCTTTGCCTTCTGAGTGTTGCAATTATAGGCATACATCACCATTTCCTTACAGTGTATTTATTGTGATAATAATAATGTTTACCATTTGTTGAAGTACTTACAAATGTCTCAGGCCAATCTGGGCTACATAATTAGGCCCTCTCTTAAATGTAAACTAATGTATATTAATTGTAAATACCCTGGTTCTCTTTTGCTTACTACTTGTATAGAGTATATTTTCCCATGCCTTTAGTTGCAGAATATGGGTATCCTTGAATCTAAAATGAGTATTTTATAGAAAAAGATTATTGAATCTTTTGTTTTCTTTATTCTGCCCTTCTGTATTTTGACTAGAGAATAAAATCCATTTACACTTACAGTAATTATTGGCAAGTAAGGACTTACTATTCTGATTTGTTACTTTGCAGTTCCTTTCTTCTTTTTTTCCTGTATGGATGCCTTAATTTGCAATTTAAACTTTTTTGTTAATAATATGCTTTTATTCTGTTTTTGTCTTTTGTATATCTACAATTTTTTTATTTTTTGTTTTATGTTTATCATTAAGTAAATAAAATGTAAAAATAAATTCTTAAAGTTTTTTCCAGTAAGCCCACTAGTAGCTTCTCTTGGAATGTTTTGTTACATTTATTTTCTTTCTCTGAATAGACACTAGGTGTCTTGTTTCTCTTCATATATTATATTTTTATATATTAATAATTTGGGAAGGAACAAACTTTATTAGTTTTAGCATTCTGGCTTCATAGAGACATTCACTGGTCAGTTTAGCATAATATTTTCACTGCTTAGTCTAGCATAGTGTTTCCAATTCTTTTAGTCCTTTCATAGCTTTCCACTGAGACCTTATCCATATTTACCAATTCCTTTGTTTTATTGGCTATGTTAAAATATTTTAATTGGTTTGAGTCTTATTCTTGCTTCTTGAGGAACCATTAGTTATTCTATTATATTTTTCAATCACTAATATCTTTTTCTACATTTCTGTGTATCATCATTTTTCGTAAGATTTTCACAACCCTTGTGTTTCCCACCATTTCCTCTAGCCTGAGTGCTCACCTGCATCACTTTTTTCTGTATGAACTTCCAATTAATAGACACCAATCCCTCAGACAGTCTGAGACACATTACAGTAATGAAAAATTTAATCAAATTAAATGTTTCTTGTTCACAGAAGAAACTAGGGATTGGGCCAAAATTGCCTTCAAGTCATGTCATGTCACACTAAAAAAATTAGTCTAAAATGGATCAATAAAAATGCCATACATTTTACAGGCACATTGACTGTGGCATTTTCTTAGTCATTTGCTTAGTTTCTGTAGGTTTGATGGGTTTTTAGCTTTTCAGAGCATCCACGATGTTGTTTTAGTCCTTCACTACTTGTTTTTCCTTTTTGTTTGTTTTGATATGGAGCGCAATATTTAGTCTTTGCTCGCTTGGAACTGCTGTGACAGCTTGCCTCAGTCTTGCAATCTTCGTGCCCCAGACTTCCAAGTCTGGTTATGGGCTCTCACCTCCATCTAACTAGTTGTTTATTTAGTATTGTTTTGGCAGAACAAGTTTCTAGAGCTTCTTAGTTCTTATTGTTGCTAATTTCAATCTGCTGTTGATTTTCAAATTACAGAGTTACTACATTAGATCCCATAAGGTTAATGAAATAAACAGCCTTTATATAGACTTTGTAGGGAGAAGTGTGGAAAAATTGTATATGTGCATCAGAAAATCTTTTTTTTTCTTATAGTCAACCCTTGTTTTTCTGATTTGTGGTTCCTAGCCTTTAGCTGTTAAATATGTGTGTATAAAATTGCAGAAATGTTCTTTAAATCTAAGAAATTAGAAAGAACTCCATGAGACTGGGGAAAATGGGGTCTTAGGGAAGAGGGTGAGGAAGATAATAAAATAAAATGGAAGGGGAAATAAATACTTGGGGTAAAAGAGAATACAAGGGATATTGGAGAGTAGGAAGATGAAGAAGGAGTGGGTAAGAGATCAAACAACAAAAATGAAATATGTATAAAAAGCCACATGGAAACATGTTACTTTGAGAACTAATTTAAAATATACATAAAATAAATGTTCTTTTCAACCAGAAGCAATTTCCTCTCCTATTCCCATGTTCTTCCTCTGTAAAAGAGTGTTTTGCATGTTGTCATATTTGTCTTTTTATTGTTTCATAAAGTTATAGCAAATGAAGAGTGAAGGTTGTAATCAATTGAATTAATTAAAAATATTTATTGACTTATCATATGCCCAGCAGTAGTCTCATGTTATATGCCTTATAATTATAAAAAGAACGAAAAACCCCAGAACTCTGCCAATTAAACATTGTGATTGTCAGGCATTGATGCTCAGCTAGTACCAGATCAATTGAAGGAAAGCTAAAACATTGATTTACGAATTTCTTACAGTTGAGAGACAGTTATTGCCTAATTGTTTAAGTTAATCAAATTACATTTAATAAAATGTTAATTAATAAAAATTCAATTTTCCTAACTCACATAAAATGAAACATATTTTGGGTTATTACTTCAACATACTAATAAAATGATTTGAATTTTTTTTAAAAGTGTTCATCATGTTTATAGAATTCTTTATAGCTGTCATAGTTAGGTTTCTGTTGCTGTAATAAAGACTATGACCTAAACTACCTTGGGAAAGAAGGAGTTTATTTGGATTATACTCCCACATCACAATCCATCAATAAGTAAAGTCAGGGCAGGAACTCAAGCAAAGACCTAGTTGCAGCAACTGAAGCAGAGACCATGGAGGGATGATGCTTACTGACTTGCTTTTCCTACTTGTTCAGTTTGCTTTCTTATATATCCCAGGACCATCTACCTATTGATAGCATGACCCACAATGAATTGGGCTCCTCCACATCAAACATTAAGCAAGAAAATGTCCTATAGATTTGCCTAGAGGTTTGCCTACAGGCCAGTCTTATGGAGGTATTTTCTCAATTGAGATTCCCTCTTCTTAAATGACTCTAGCTTGTGTCAAGTTGACAAAACTAGTTCAACTGACCCTTGTCAGCTCGACACAAAAAAACACATCACTATTAAACCATAAGCTTTTCTGTCTTGTCTCTAAAATGTCATAGTACTATTAATAGCACAATAAAAAGCATCCTAACTTTTAAAGTTCCACAGTTTTCAAAAATATCAACAATTTAAAAACCAATTTCTTTGAAAACTCAGTGTCTTTTTAACATTTTGAAGTTTCTAAGATATTCAAGCTGTCATAACTGTAGATTCCTATGAAATAAGACAATAATCTAAATACTTTATTGCTCCAAGAAAGAAAGACAAATATATAGTCACAATCAAAGCAACACAAACCTAACATCTGGCAGTGTAAATCCTGTAACTGAATGTCCTACATCTATAATTCACTGATGGTCTTCTGGGGTCCACAGAATCTGGGCAGTTCCACCTCTCCAGTTCTGCCATTCACAAGGCAGACAGCTAATTTCATAGACCCAAGTTAGCACCATTCTAAAGCCGCTACTGCCTTTAGTGGTCATCTCATTGTACTTCAAAATGCTGGTGTCTCCACATGCTGCACCTTAACCAATGAACTCCCAGCCTCAGGACTCCAACCCAGTTATTTGAGTTCAAGCCTTGGCACTTCACCATGATACCTTCAATCCTGGGATTTCCTCTACAACTAAGGATATATTGTCACCAATAGTCTCTCCTGACCATTCATAGTGTGGAGGCTTAGTGCTTTCCAGGACTACTTCATGTCTTCAAAATCAGTACCATGTGTGAGATTCTTACACATACTAAGTTTGGCTGCCAAGATGAGATGCAGCCTTGTCTCCCTCTTGACCACAGCTGCTGTGTGCTGAACCTGAGGGAATACTTCCCCAAAGGATTTCCCTCAATGATGCTGATATCTTACTAATCATAGCTGATCTGTCAACCAAAGCCAACCAGGTCAATTGTCCCAGTAAAGCAGAGGATTCATTGTAGTGGTTCTGACTTCTTGTTAATTAATCATAACTGATTTTTTTAGCCCCAGCTGACCAAGTATCGTATATTTGCAACTTAAAATATTACTTGAATGGCCTGGATAAAGTCTTTGCAGGATTCTCAAAAACTTCTTTCTAAAACTTAACAAGCCAGATTTCCATTCTCTGCATATTTTTCAGCATTATCTTTCAAGTTACTACAGAGCAGATCATTAAGCTCTGTGTAATCAGTGACTTTTCCAGTCCAGCATCACAAAGTAAATTACAGTCCTCCCAAGAATGACATGGTCAGGTCTGTCACAACAATACGCCATCATAAAACACCATGACCAAAGCAACTTGGGAAGAAAATGTTTATTTGACTTGCACTTCTACATCACAATCCATCACTGAGGGAATTTTGGCCAGGAACACAAGGAGCCTGAAGATAGGAACTGAAATGGAGACAATAGAGGATTGTTGCTTACTGACTTGCTCTCCAATGTTTGCTTTGTAATATAGCCAGGAGTGGCATTGCTCACAGTGAGTTGGGCGCTCCCACAGCAACCATCAATCAAGAAAATGCCCCATAGTATAGATTCTATAAAAGGAAATGATTTAAAAATCATTTTTAAAAATTCCTTAAGTAATCCATAAAAATTAACCATGTACATGGCTTCTTATGAATGTACACCCATCAAAAGTAGTATTTAATGTATAATTAGTATATTGGCATACATCATCAGTTTCAAGTGTAAGTATGATTTTACATGAAACATGTATGTTACATTTGGATTTAATATGCTCAACTACACACACATTGTAATTCTAATTTATATCCAAGCAATTGTGTGTTTTTTAAATACTTCCGTTCTTAGCCATAAGACACATATTTTGAGCAGAAGGTATTTCCTTGTATTAAACTTGCAATTCTTGGTTATATTGAATGGATTGGCCTCTCTAGGAAGTAGCTTTATGATGATCATTAAACAAAGGCCATTGTAATCTGCCAAGATCCAATTATTTTCTGTCTTATGTCTTTGAATGTATGCATTTTTTTGCATTTCTCTTTTCCTTTCCTACTTATCCTATCTTAGTTTCAAGCCTGGATTACCTGTTGTGCAAATTCATATAAAAGTTTGTATACTTCTCATATACACAAGAGGCACATTAAACTTCCTAATGTACAAAAATATAGTTCTGCCACATAGCAGGTGTACCACAGAAATTTCAACAGCTCCATAATTTCTACAGAATTAGATTGAAGTGTATGTAGCATTCTTCACTTCCACAAAGTGACTTCCACCTTCCATTGTAGTACGAGTTGAATTGACATTTCCTTGGACACAGGTATCCTTTTATGCTACCATGGTAACACTACTTTTTTCCTATAATATCTCTTTTTATTTCTAACAATATTCTACTCAGTATTTAAGGTTCAGCTGAGATACTATTCCACAAGTGGGTGTAATTTTGTCATACTTTGAACTCCTATTACTTTATTTATTGGACATCCATAACTCTTACTATAGTTTTCTTTGTATTAAAATCTTTCATGTACCTGTCTTATCTCTTCCTTTCAAATCATAGTTCTTGCCCTACAGGAAATTAGGTTTTTGCCTATCTTTTTATTTCCTGTTACAATCTCATATAGGAGAGATACCTGATAGACATTTGAACCGAATTTAAATTAGATATCTTGGAAAGTTATATCTACTTATTTCAATAATGTTTAATTTGTCAAAAGTTTTTGAAGTCTTTTACAATTGTTTTAAGAACCTGTGGGATTCTTTTAAATGCTTTTAGTGATGACAAATCGTCATTAAAATTTGATTTTGGAAAATAGAATTCATTCGGAGCCATATTTAGTGAATAGTATGAATGTTTAATCTAGGGTGTATTTTTTAGTTACAATACAGGGTGTGTGAAGTAATGAGACAGAATCTCGGCATAAGAAGTGAACTGACATTTCCAAGTTTTCCAAATGCTTTCAACAATGACAACATTATTGTAATGAGTTTATAACATTTTAAAATTCCTAACTTTAAAATATAGAGCACGTGTGTAGCTCTGTAAGTTCTAAAATATTTATATGATCCACCTTGACTCCTTGTAAGTTATTTCATAATTTTCTAAACCAGTATGTTTATATATAACATTTCATTGGAGTGCTATGCTTTATAGGTTCTAGTGAGTGTGAATCCTGCCTTCAATCTTGTACCAAACAAGAATCACCAAAGTTAAAGGAATATTTACCTATACATAGTATTTTTCAATTTTTAAAAGCAAATCTAGCTTCTCTGGATATCTGTTCTCTGAATTGTGTTAGAAATATAAGGAAATATTGAATACATTACAATAGACATTATCTAAAATTTTACTATCACCCAACTCTTTAGTAGTTGCTGTTTTAGAATTTTGTTTTATCCATAATTCTTTGTGATAGTGTACTTGTTTTCTAGAGGTTCTGTGTAGCTTCTTTTGAATTATTATCACTAATAGGAATATATAAGGTGATAATTCAAAATAATTGGATATCTCTATTTGTGTGGAGCATATAATGTGATTATTTTAGTTAGCTTATACTTATTTTAAAATAAAAAGTCAATCATTCACACACTGTCATGACTTTCAGGTTTCAGCTAATTACCATTTTATTGTACATTGAGTGAAAATATTTTACATTGAATAAAAATACTTTCACTATGTAAGCCAAGTTTGCATGTCCATTATACATAGAATTGAAGTATATGTTTAGCTATGACCAATTCTTTGTTCCACTTGTAAAAGTTAAAATCTCTCAACATTTGGAGACAATATTGACAAGTATTTGCTAAGATATGAAATATTTATAGACTATGGGAGATGTATCTATCTGTCCAAGATTGTAACATTGCAGAACTTCATTATCAACACTAAATGCTGGACTGTGACTCAAAAAGAACAAATTGCTGGACACATTCTTATCTAAAAAGTCTTGTATAGATACTGTCGCTTAAAAGTTCACCTTTGCTACCTTTTACAGTTATGCATTAATTATACAAAAGTAGCATCCTTTAATTCTGTGGTCTTTTACAATCAACATTTTATTATTCTGAGATAAGGGTGGATAAAGTGTGGAAGGTGTAACAGGACAGATAACTAGTGAGGACATGATTTAGATCAACAGTGTTTCTAAGATTCATATGAAGAAGGTTACTGTAACGTTAGTACATGCTAAGTGTTCAAAATAAATATATAATGTGTTTCATTTATACTGCCATCTCTTGCTTTGTGATAATGAACTATTTTTAAAGTTCCCCTTTCAGCTTACTCCAAAGAACATTAAAATTTTAAAATAATTTTATTTTCCATATACTTTCATATCCTTTACAGGACCAACAAGTATTTATTTTTTAATTTCTGAGGGAATTTTACACCATTTCTATTTTTTTTCTGCAAGGGAAGGCCCTTTAAATTGGTAAGGAAAGAATGCCATTGGTTTGGAGTATATTCTGAATCCGGATCTATCTATTTGTCTTCACATCATAGACAATGGTGTTTTAGTACTTAATCAGCATTGCAAGGAATGTTAATATATACCTTACTAAGATTTCATTTGTTGTTTTCACAGATTTCAGGAAACCTTACTGTGCCTTGGATTACAGGGTGTTCTAGGAAAAGAGCAGTAAGTAATCTTTGGTTTAAAGCAACAAATGAATTTCCTTTCATATTCTTAGTGGAGTTTAATATAAAATATTTTTATGATTTTTATAGATCTTCTAAAACTTACCTTTGATAAAACTGAATTGTCTCAAAAGAATGTATTTTCAACTCATAGTTAAAATTATTTCACTAGACCCAAGATAAATGAAAAATGGGTGTTTATTGGGGAACAGTTTCACAGAAAAATACAAAGAACCATGGGAGCCTTTCTCTGCCCTTCTTACCAGATCAGCTGACCCACCAGAAAGAGCATGCAAAGGAAAGCCATACCTCAAGCTCCCCTCTCTTTGCTTCAGGCTGCCTCAGGTCATGCCCAAGGGGGTGTGGCCACTGTTGCAGGTTCACAGACCAAATGCCTACACATAGTGTTTAATTTGCAAAGACAGTCTTAATTAAAATACAGAAATCAATATTCTGAGTATCCTGTGGACAGGACTACTTTTGTTTATAAACAAATTTATATATTTTGTCTTTTTTATTATTTATTTTTAAATTTAAATTAGAAACAAGGTTGCTTCACAAGTCAGTTCTAGGTCCCTCTCTGTTTCCCTCCCCTCCTCCCCTGCCCTCTTCCCAACCCCCCCCCAATATCCCCTCACTTCCCCAGGGAGGGTGGGGCCCTCCTTGGGATGTCCATAGTCTTTCATTTCATCCAGGGCAGGGCCTAGACCCTCCCCCCAAGAGTTCAGGGTGATTGAAAATATTTTTTCACTACAGTTTATAAAAAGAAAAACCTAATTAAAAATGATAGAAAATGGATTTATAACTAAAAATATTTAAAGCAACTCAAAATCTTAGTTTTCTACTATTTAGTTGATCATGAAATTTAATCTTAAGGATATTAAATATTTACTAATATGCTTTGGCATTTACTACAATTAAGTATTTAGAAAGAATATGTAACTAATGTTTATAACTGTCCTGGGTTTGGAACTGTAATATAGAAATTCAATAAGATTGTGTTTTCTTATGGACTCTGTAGGACCCATAAAACTGTATTTAATCAAGTACCCAGAATGCTTAATTGTAGCAGGTACATAGAAAACTATTAAGCCATGAAAAAGAAATAAATGGACATTTAGAAAGGTAACTTAAGTTACAAAATGGTTGATGGGTTTGAAGACAAATGAAATTAGAGCTAAAACTTCAGATTTGGTACAAGACTGTCCAGATTCTTTATTTCCTTCTCTTTCCCATAAAGTAGAGATACAATGCTGAAAATAATGTAAGAGACTTCTGAAAAGTTGAAAGAATGTGACATGATTATAGAATCCAGTGCATGGAGGAAACATAATGTATTTGTCATTTACTTAACAGTAGAAAGTCGCTTGATTTAAATAACACAGAACAATCAAACTAGCAACAGGAAAAAAAAGCACTGATACTTCCCCTGTCCCCAAGAGTTCTATAAATAAGTTTGGTAACTTGGCACGGAAGATCGACTGAAAAGTAACTCTTACTGACAGTTTGCAATGAAGGAAGTGCTGTCCTTCCTAACTGGGACAGAATTTTCCCTCTCTCTAAGAGACAGTCAGCTAGAATGCTAAAGGAAGCTTCTACAACAAACAAACGGCTTCTCTGGGGAGCCTCTCTCACTGTCCTATACACACAGTTCTGTATTACACGTATCAAACAAGGCTGATAATCAGCATCATCAAGAAGAAACAAGCCACAACAGGAAGTCTCTGAAATATGGTGAATCAATTTTCCTTTCTACAGATATGAGTCTACTGAGTGGCATTAGTAGGAAAGGTATTCTCACAAGTGCTTGAGTTTCTATCACTTTAGGTTTTACTAACAAGATTAGTAGAAGCATAAATGACCGTCTGATCACATGAAAATAACATCAAAGAATATAGAAATTTAAAAAATCACTGAAACGATAACTCTGTTAAGTTTCCAGAGTTAAAATATGGTTGCTGCAGACATGCCTCAAGTCATGCAAAAGGTGAATTGAAGTCAACCTTGAGGCAGTGTCTGAGGTAAAGGTACAGCCTACTTAGGGAAAGCAAAGAGTGCTGTTTTTGAAAGTTTTCTTAGGGAGGAGTTAAGTGTTGCACCACAAAAAGTAGATCTTAAGTCAGTCGACATTACCATATTAGGTTAAAATGCTCTATGGTTTGGGGCTAAGGCAGATGTTTACAAAGTTCCAAGTACATCTCCGGTTAAGGGATGAATGGAAATTTACACAAAACAAAGGTCCTAAATAATATATAACTTGTCAGTATGACAGTGGTCTGCCTGTTCTGGGCCTGGGCAGCAGGGAAACTGAATGTATTCTCGTCATGCTAAGGCCCCTCTGTTTAGAGCTTGGTTGCCTGGAAGGCTAGTTTCCAAGAGGCATGGGCTTCCCGCTCATGTGATGTGACAGAACTGTATAAACCACCAGAATTTCTATCCTAAATCTAAGTGGAGAAGCATCTATTAAAAAAAAGATAAGACAGAAGGCCTAGGAAGATAATGGTCAAAAGTCCAGGAACCTGGTGGAAATTCCTCAGTGCACAAAGAAACAGGAATGTTGCGACATGGGTGATAAAAGGCAGTCTACTGACACAAACAAGGAGGTGAGTCAGACCTGGTATTATCTGACAAACAAGTTAGAACACAAATGGTGAAAAACTTCAGTAAACAGCTACAGGTTGTCTTAAAAAACAGCAGATGTGTGGTGGCAGGGCAGCTTAGTTGGTAGAGTGCTTGCCATGCACTGAGCACTGGCTTCAATCCCCAGTAATTACTAAAATAATCTAAAGAAAGCATTAGACACTATCAGAGTGAAATAAATAAAAGGTTAGTATTGAAAAATACGTCTAACATAAACTGTTTGGTAGTTGGTTCAGTATTGGCATAGAGATGAAAGAATGCATACTAAGTGAACTTGACAGCAGGTAAGTAAGTAGAAGTTAAGACAATAAAAAATGAAAAGAAAACTTCAGAAGATAGAATGAAATTATTGAAGTGAATTTATAATGCATCTTAATATACTTCAATAAATCTTTAACTAATATTCCATTCAGTTATTGTTACACATGGGTATTTTAACACACTTTAAAAACTGATATTTAAAAACCAAATCTCATGAAATTTAAATGCAGTTATGGTACATATAATAATGTTGCCTATAGAATGACATGTGGAATAAGTATGGATTGCACATTGCATTTCAAATATCCAGTGTGGTAAGCATGGCAAAGCTATCTCAGTTTTTATAATGATTTGGATTAATTGCATTAAAATACAACATGAGCTTATGACTTAAAAGATTATATGTAAAGGGGGTAGGTGTCTTCCTGGTAAAGCATTGTCTATCATGCTCAGAGACCCATAGTCCTTTTTTTGTATCTTTGAATAATTTAAATGCACAATGAACTATTATAAAATAGGGACAGCATAATACCAGAACTTACAAAGTTTAGTTATTAAATGTAATTTTACTTTTAAAGGAAATTACTACACTTATGGTTTATAACATAATTTTTATAAACTTGTACATTGAAGAGAGCATATTCATCTTATGTATTTTTCATTTTTGGTTTTGTTTGTTTCAGAGCTGTGAATAGATGTAAGAGCTTGCAAAGGCTGTAGGAAAATGCTCTAATGTCCTTAGCTTCTATGGTGACAGCATCTGCAGTCTATTCTCTAAGTAAATTCCCAATATAATGCAATTTTTGTAACTTTATATGTTTAAATGATCTTGGGCCTGCAAGATGACTCAGCAAGTAAAGACACTTGCAGTCATGCTGGAGCATCTAAGTTTGATTCCTAGGTTCACACTGTGGAAAGAGAGAACCTGCTCTTACATGTTGTTCACACAAAGGCTATGGCATGCCCAATCCTGACATACAAATTGACAGTTGTATTTGAAAATTTTAAATGATCATTATTATTTACTCTTGCATTTATAAGACTCCTTTCACATATGTATTTGTTCACTGGACAATATCCCATAGTTCCCTTGCCATTTCTTCCTACCTTGTTATTCTTTCTTTCTTTTTTATCCTCATACTGCATAATTTAAACACATCTCCAAGTCCATGCATCCTTTCCTCTGCTTAAGACTGCAGGTTAAATGTATCGTTAATTTTTATTTCTGTTAATATGTGACAAAGCTCCTTAATTTCTAGTGTCTAGAATCTAGTTGGTCCTTCATCACATACATCTTGTTAATATTTTCCTTTAGTCATGCATCATGCTCCCAGTTCAAATTCGATAGTCACCTATGACTTTTGTACTATGTTGATCTTCTTTGTCAGATAATTCATATCCATAATTTTTTAGGGTTCCTTACCGGAGAATAATTTTGTTGATTTGATTTTTATTCTTTTCCATGGTTTTTATACATTTCAGTTTGTGTCTTCATTTGGAAAAATAGCCCTCTCCTCTCTACAATCCAACTTGCATGACCCAACTTTACCTGCAAACCTGACTAAAGATTCCAGGTGTTTGTTTTTAGCTCCCCCTTACATAGAACTGTTTCTCCAGAAGCAGATGAATTGTTTCTTCTGCTTTCTGTCTGTGTCACCTTGTCATAATAATTTTTCTAGGGGAGATATGAATAAATGCCCAGTTATCCTATATAGGGTACCACAAACAGAACAAAATATGATTTCACTAAAGTCTAACTTGAGTACCATGCCATGTCAGAAATATAGAGGAATGTTTTTGTGTTTTTCCCCAATGTCAGAATTTATTGAACGAAAATAATTTTACAAGACTTTGGAGTTTCAGTGTCAGCTATTTCCCAGACAGTCCCAATTTCCTTGGTAACTCTCATGAAGGGAACACGGTTTTTTATGTTCTAATATTATTTACTAATATTTACTTTCAGGTTGCACATTGCATATCATAATGTAAATGAATCTGTTTGTCTGTCTGTCTCTCTGTGTGTACGTGAGCATGTTTAAATGTTGCACAATGACTGCAGTGTTCAAAGGGGCAAGGAATTTTGCAGAGCACTGAGAAGCT